CAGGTTTGGTACAGTAACCTGCATGTACATGTACAAGTACATAGACAAGTACATGAACCTGTTGGATTTTGTGAGGTTCTGTATGCTTTCTAGTGCAGGAGCCTAGGGGGTTAGGGTTAAATGTTATGTTTGCAGACCATTCCCATATATGGTACAATGTACCATAGAAGGTTGTCAAACACCATTAGGGTGATCTCCAAACGGTGCCAGCTTCTCCTCCAAGGAGGAAATCTGTAGGATGCTGATGATGCTTCATCTACTGGCATGACTCTGGCCCGATCAGCGCAACAATTAAGAGCTTGTTTCGTTTTTGTGTTATCGGACACGGATTTCCTGTGGCTACTGGCTGGTGAGCAAGTGCCCTTTGATAATGTAAATTGGGAAAGTACAATGTCAGCAACCTTGGAACATCCTAATTACACTGTCCATGTGTACACGTATCCATGTAAATTGGACATGTACATACATGTGCATGTACATGTATGTAATAGTATATGTTGTACACTGTAGGAGCTTTGATGATTTTACAATCTACATGTATGTGTACAACACATATTCATCATGTGTAATTTCTCTTCGCAGAGGAAATCATAATGTTTATCATTTGGAAATCATTTTTTCTCAAAGGAATGTTGTATTAAAGTCTTTAAAAAAAGTTTCATTTTTGAAAAGAGAAAAGGGAAAAAGAAGAAATAGTTTTGCACATTTTATAGCCATTGCTTCACACACGTACATACATGTACACCCACATGACTTCACAGCTGATTTAGTCTCTGTACATTTGGTACATACTGTATGTATATCATAAGTTATCATTTTGTATTGTCGTTTGGGACAGGAGGGAACAAGGAAGGGTGTAATAACAGGAAACTGTAAAGGGAAATGATTACACAAATGTGTACAACTTGAGTTAAGTTGTCTTGTTGGGTTGTGGTATTAAGTGACAAGTGGGGCCTGCGTAATCACATCTCAATCAGGAACTGTTAGACAGACCCTGGATCACATGCAACCACAGTATCATGTACAGAGTAAATAAGTACTGTACATGTACAGGCCTACCATTTCTTGAAGTGAGTGTTTTTGTTTCCTTGATCCTACAAGCCTATGTGCATTCTGCCACATACACGTACATCATATACTCTGCTCAAAAAAGTCAAGGATCACTTTTTATTTTGTGTATACTTTTTATATGAGATATTTTACTGTTGTAAATGTGCATTTGATGTTTTGAAACATTTTTTAAAATTTTGTATTCCAATGAGAACACCATCAAGACAAACAAAAAATGAAAGAACTAGACCCACTCATTGCTTGGAAAAATTACAAGTTAGAAAAAAAGTGGTCTTTAACTATTTTTGACTAGTATAGTTATAATAGCAGAGTTTTCTGAATTTTAATGTTTATTCTTCATCAGTAATTTTGGTTTCTTTAAATGTATTGACATACATGTAAGAAACGAAATGAAATCAAAATAAAGTACGGTACAAAGTTATTCCATGTAGTTTCTTGTGAATTATTCAAGAATGCAAACTTAGTGTAACTTTTAATGGAATCCTTTTAAGTGAACAAAATTGTGACAACCATCTCAGGAAGAAACTCAGCAGTACATTTGCTAAATTTCTAGCTGTTTTTCTGTCTTGAATTTTTTTACTTGGTACTTCTTGGCAGTTTGTGACAGTACGAACGTACAATGTACATAGAGGTCAGTGAGCAAAGTGTTCTGGCAGGTATTATCAGTGATCGAATATTGAGTTTACAGTTTGAACAGAAAACCCCCCCAATGAAAACACATTATCACAGTGGGTACACTACTCCTGCATGTACGTACATGTACATGTAATGTACACACCTACTGGTAATATCAGGTTATGGGGATTATTCATACATGTATGTTGAAAACATACATGTACATGTAGACAGGAAAGAGTTCTACCATATATTAGGACAATGCTTCACACCCTGTGCACAAAACCTCCTGAGACTGGTCTGAAAAATTCTAAGCATTTTAAAGCAAATGCTTTGAACAATATTTCCCCTGCTATGAGTAATTATGACTTTTTTAGGACGGACATACACTCAAGTACATTTATTAACACAAGCATTCTCTACCAACTGTCCTCAATTTTGATCCACTAGCTGCCATACTGAAAGGGCACTAGACTGCAATATAAATATGTATGTACATGTTTGCCATTGAATCACTTCAACAACATATCGCTTTCTGATGGTTAATCAAACCTCTGCAAGGGAAAATTAGTGATGTCTATACACTGTACATGTATATGGAACTTTCTCCCATAGACATGGGGTCCAAAAATATATTACGAGGACAAATTTTTGTCCTCACAACTGGTTCCCGACTTACCCACATGTAACAAAAGATATTGTCCCCTTAATGCATGACAAAATACTGTGACATTTAATGATATCGTGATATACATGTATTTGAAGTGCATTAATTATGTCGTTACAAAGCAACGGCTTAACCCTAACTCCCTAGGGTGTGTGCAAAATCATATTAAAATTGGAGGATTCAGGGCTGTTTGGGTTTTAAGCTGGCATTTATTGGGAATACAAACAACTATACTGTAGTATGGGCCAATGTAAAGGTACAAGTCAATGCGGAAAAACTTCTGAACTTCAATATCATCATTTATCAATCTGTTTATTTTCAAATAAAAATTACTTATGTGATGGAATAATAGAAAGTGAAGATCAATTTTGTGAATGTTTTCAGGCAAGAATGATGTATAGAAATGACTCCTGGGTAATGACCGTGACAAAACACACCCCCTGTGAAACATTGTTTACAAGGGACTTCTGTTCAGACACTAAAACCGCAGCGGAGATGATAAAACTTCAGAAAAGGCTTTTACATGTACATGTACATGTAACTTGTGGGTTGGTGGCTGTTTAGGTTTCATCTCATGGGAGTCAAGATG